CCCCTTTTAAAAACCCTCCACGATACATCAGGGTACAGAAGTATCTCTATCATTATACGAAATATGATCATGCCTTATCTCTGTAGGTTGATATTTTTAATTAATTATTATTATCAGTTAATAATGTTCATGTAATAGTTGACCATTTCGCAGCTCCTAATTAATTTCCTAGGCTAATCAATGTTTTCATTTTCTATCTGTTGTGTGGTTTGTAATGAAAAGTTAATCAAATTGTTTATTTTTCCGCTCTATAGTTTCAATCAGTCTGGCCCATGGTGGACTAGGAGTTTCCAAAAAGACTATCTCTTTTCTCTTTCACTGGATCACACTGGACTGCAGGAGTATCTCCAAAAGAATAACATGCTGAATATTGTGAGTGAATCTGTCATTGGGTCATCATTATCTACAATGTACAATTATTACCAGTATTAATTATCATACATGTGCAGTTATAGAAAAACTTGCTAGAATTTGCAGATTTATACATTTTAAAGTATAATGTGTTTTCTTTTCATTTCTATAGCCAAAGTCATCATGTGATGTTCAGTACATTTGTTCGTTCATCGACCAAATAAGGTCGTACTCGAGACTCCTCCCACCAACTGAAATATGTCTAGCAATGCTTACCATGGCAACGATTCTACAGCTCACGCTGGCGATGATGTCCAATTTGGGTCAGGCCAGAGCTGCCGATTATAAAGTAAAGCCTTTGGCTCCTCAGCCAAGACAGGGTCAGGAGAATGGAGGAAAAGGAGCTCTTGCTAAAAAGGACAAATCTCTGAGTGGTAATAAAGAGAAAGGCTCAGGCAAGAAGAATAAAAAGAATAATAATGGAGGGAACTGATCAAGTTTTAGTATAAAAGCTTTAATAATGTAGATCTGTTGTTAGAATTAGCTTTATGAGAGTAATAAAACTAATAGATAACAGGTCATCTTTGCTCAAAGCACTAGATGTATACATTGCATGTATATCTTATTATTAAAACTCCACTGACAGTAAAGAGAATGAAGAAGCTGTCTTGTTGGGCGCGGTTTTATGGGTGGAGCTAGCTGGAATGAGAATGGAAGTTTGAGAATGAGTCTACTCTAGTGCGTATTGTATTGATACAGGAATCCACACAAATGGCTCCATCAGTATAAGAAGAGAAAGAGCAGAGACTCACGGCTGCTACTTTTCTCTCCCTCCTCCTCATCCCGTTCCCTCTCTTTCTATGGGTTGCAGTTGTACTTCTTTGGAGTGGAGAGAAGTGTGAAGCGCGTTGAGATCCTTCTACTTAGTGTTCCCAGCCCAGGAACTGAACCCGTCCATTGTCTCCTCGTTCCTTCCCCACTCTCCCTCTCTTTTAGAAGTGGCAACCAGTCTTATTACTCGTGTACCGATTGTTTTTTTGTGACGCGCTCGCTTTCTTGAACAGGTAAAGTCCTTTAACTACATGTACATCTGTACAGTCTCTTTCTCTCTCTCTTTCTATTTCTTCACCACCTGCCTATGCATATAACATCTTTACCATTACATATCATAATGATTTTGAAACTGCTCTCTCTTCCTTTCTCCCTTAGTTACCATGGAAGGATTTGATGCCAAGTTTGACCCACCATTAGACAAACGTTTAGAGTGTCCAATATGTCTTCTGGCACAGAGGGAGCCAATGCAAACGCCATGTGGCCATCGCTTCTGCTCAGCCTGCATACTCAGAGCTCTGAGGTTAGCACATTACACAGTAGAGAATAAGTATAAACGATATGTGTACACGTACATAGACTCACTCATTTATGGGAACATTGAAGATGTAGAGAGTGAGGGGGAGAGTTAGATTAGCATTACAGAATTAGCATCCCATTTATAGTGCCTTCATACTCACAATATTGATGAACTGGGTTGTTGTACAAGGACATATGTACATGTGCATTTATATGTCTTTTTGCTTGACTACATTATGATGGACAATATTCCTCTCTTTGTGTTCATCAATGGAAGATATAGTGTACACATTACGGGTACATCTACCTACACATATAATACAATGGTTATGGTTATTTATACAAGGATATGTAAGTGTTATATTGGCACAAAGTGAGTGTGTGTGTAGCATTTATGAGATGAGAGAGGGGAGATAGAGCTACATGCTAGAGCAAGCTTGCTTTAGCTCATTGTGGCTTGTGTGTCCATGACATAGTGTGAGAGTGTGTGTTTACATTTCAAACGATTGCGTGTATGTAACGCCAGTGTCGACTTATTATATGCTCTGAGAAAGTGTCCACCACAAGCCTCTGTGTCGTTTTGTGTGTGTGAATATACAGAGAAAGAAACCTCCTCTTATTTCCAGCTACAGACTATAGACACTGTATCAGGTCATTTTGTGCAGGTGCTTTGTGAGTTGTGTTGTTATTTGAAGTGAAGTCATTGCTTGATCAGTTTTAGTGTATGCCTTAAAGATGCCAAGGAGTCTACCCATGAGCCGGTTATGGATACACACATGCCATACCAACCCTCATTACACTGTCATCTACCCTGCTTCACCAAATTCACACATAATTACTGTACATACAATAATTACTGCATTTTAATGACAGCCAATCCTTATAACACCATTTCTCTTGCTTCTCTCTCTCTCTTATTATTATTTATTATGTAACTTAGCACTAATGCTGAATAAGATGATAAATAATGATCATAATGTTCATCATTAATGCATTGAGTACACATACAAAATGTTACTGGGTTGCTTGCATTCAATTCTCACTTTGCAGTAATGGGCATCAAAGATTTGACTTGCTCATGCATTTTATTGAGACTCGCATACCCAGTATCCAATAATAGCCTTAAATGTTGTATCTCTAAGCATAATTAGTAATTACTAATTATCCTACAAGACATTTGTCCGGAAGAATGTCACCATCTTAGCTTTTTGGCTGCAGACTCGCGGTCTATTATCAATATTATATAAACTAGCATTTCATCTGCACTTTTAACCTGTAATGTAATGCAAAGAAGGCTTACATGTTCATAGTATATATATTGTCAGATGGTCACTGATCCATATCTCTCTCCCTTGCTAACTCTACTGTTTTGATCTCCTTACACTTTGTAGTGACATTCCAGGAGGTAAATATTTGCATGTCTCTCCAAAGTGCGTTAAAGCTATCCCTGCTTTTATGTTAAGCATAGAGAAAGAGAAGACATAAGCTTACCCCTAATGCGACCGTGTCTGTAGTGCTTTGATTGTTATTGATAGTCTATAGTGTTGTGATAGGGATACTGTGTTTGTGATAGAGAGAGAGAGAGAGAGAGAGAGAAGGTGAATGTGAGTGAGTTTCCATCAGTACTCTCTTTGCCTTTCTTAATTACTATATATATTTTTTTACATGCATGTGCGCATGTATTTATGCTCCTTGGTATTAAGGTTGCTTAGTGCATTGTGTATTGAATAATTGTAACCTGGCAGTGTAGCTCTATAAGCTTTTGATTACCCTCTGTCTTGATCCTAACCCCAGTACACTATACTCTTCCAGCCCTCTGTCTCCCCCTCTCTCTCTCTCTCTCCCTCTATGATGTGCTTATTGATTGATGTCTTTAAGCTAAACCTTTCATATGTCAGTAGAGGTTACTAATCAATAGAGATGGGCTGGTACCAATAATCCTTTGAGTCTCTATTGGGCCACACCATATACCATTAACATGAAGACATTACATTGCATTTGAGTATTGTGGACACAGGGTGTAGATATACTTATGTACCTTATATAACATAACAGCTAGATCAATCTGTGTGTTAGTAAACCTGTATTAAATATGCACAGTATGCTAGTTGACAAAGCAATCACATTTTATTGGAATTACATGCACTGTACATATATGTATTCTCACATTATGTTGGGCTGCATGTACATGTACTACACTGGCAGTGTAGAATGTCTGAGAAACTTTGTGTCCATATACAAGTGCTATCGTGTTGGAGCTCTCAGTTCTATGGCTATATGATGTCTATGTACCACCTGGCCAGGCTGGGAGTGGCTGCACTATAGTCCCTGTTTAAAGTAAATTAGGAGGTCCTAACTTTGCACTTGTTATCCTATTGGCCCACACTTGACACCTACTGGCTGTACCCTAAGAAGAGAGAAGGAGGAGTAATGGGATGAGACAATAGAGACAAAAGACTAATTGCATTCTTTTTAGATATACAAATAAAGAGGAGAGAGAGAGAGAGGAAAGAGAGAGAGATGGAGAAAGAGAGAAAGGGAGAGAGACTAAGAGAGAGAGAGGGTGGAAATAGAAAGACGTTGTGACATAAATCAATTATCAATGGCATATGTCTCCTTATGTTATTGCTACCAGCAGTATTATGTGGAGGTGATTATTGAATAGCAGATCATGATTACACTCTAGTAGACCCTAAGGCCATTTCTTAATGTTGATGTGTGATATATGGTCTGTGCATGTACATGTATCTGTGCTTTGTAAGGTTGATAAGCATGATCTCATTAGTAGTCTATGCATTCTGTGTATGAGTAGGCTCATTCTCAGTATCAGAATGTTATAACATGCAGGGATACCATAGAATCACTCTCTGTAGACTCTCCCCCTCTCCATTCACTTGTACATGAGCTTTTGTGTAGAAGGAGGAAGAGAGCAGAGAGAGGTCACTCAGTGAATGCTTGTGTATCCTTATCATGATGCACCCTAGACTAACTCACACCTTAACACAATACACTACGCACTCATTCTATATTGCATTATGTGCAATATTTCCTTTCTGCGTAGCAATTACTCTTGGAATCAATAATTGACACGCATTCATATCAACACTGAATTTACAAAGATGCGACAATATCGTGTGACACTGTTTTGTTGTTTATTAATGTATTGTGCAATTGTATATAGTCTCCCCTGGCACCATTGACTGCAACATATGTTTGTCAACCTGTTTGTCTGTCTGTCTGCTCCTCTCTCTCTCTCTCTCTCTCCTCTATTATTCATTTTAAGGAGAAAGAGTGAAATCATAGTTCTAGATTAATGCATAAATAATTATTCCCCTTCAGTATATCATTTGTAGAGAAGTGAGAAAGACTACACAATATGTGATATCACTTGCGGTATAATGATTATTAGTACAATTTTTCCTTATTCTAAATAATAATAGCAGAAGCCATTCTCCATTGTGAAAGAGAAGGAAATGGTAAACACATATGCCAGTACATGGAGAGTTTGCTGAGGGAGTATTTGTTGTTAGGATGTGGGCCTCTGGTGGTTAGTTTTAGAATGAGTCCCTTTCTTCATCGTTAGGATTTGTGGGCATTGACTGAATATGCATGTAGGATACTCACTGTACATGTTAATGTCTGTTAACTTTTGGTTTCTACATTGTATTTATGTACTATGGGATATAGAAATGAGGGGAAAGTTTTTACAAGTTTCAAGCTGGAAGGAGGGAGGGTACATGTACATGTATATACACATGTGATCAAGTGATTTTAAATTTTAAGATGGTATGTGATAATGGTATAAGTACATGTAAGAGAGTTATTCACTAATATTCTGTAGCTTGTAAATTGCATTCGAATCACAGCTAGTATTAGCTTGTTTAGACCTCCTACTACATTTCCCTGGAGGAAACCTTAAGATAATTTATGGAGGAGTCGATACCATTTGCATGGTTTTACTCTCCCTTCACCGCTAACTCCCTTCTGTGTGACATTTGCAGACACACACATCCATACCTAATAAATACATGTAAACAATATTCACTATTGTTTATTGTAGTGGGGGAGTAGACATGAGTATATATATACAGCCTGTGTGTGGTAGGAAAAATGGGATAGGAGAGAGAGAGGGGGAAGGGAGTTAGGAGACATAAAATTAGAAATTAATTTTTATGGTAGAATCAGTTATAGGCATGCCAGTACATGTACATGTATAGATGTGCTTCTTTTGGAGGTGATGCCTGTCAAGTTGTATATACTCAATGTAGTAGGAGGGTTTGTGTACACACAAGGATGCTAGGGCTGGGTATGAGGTAAGGGGCTAGTGCAGGCCTGTGTCTACAGCTGCTCATTATGGCGCCTTATCATGGCTAGCAGTTGATGTGTGAACAGTACTCATCCCCTCTTGTACAAATAGTTTGTCTAGTTAATGAATGGTTTCTTCCTCTCTCTTCTTCTCTCTTACTCACTCATCAATAGATGTATTATTATCATTATTATTATTAAATTGTATGTACATGTAAAATGTATATTATATACATGTATTAATGCATGTACAATATCTACATGTATTAATGCATGTACAATGTGCAACGTATTATATGTACAAGATGTCATCATGTACATGTATTAATTATTATTAATGTGTGGTTTAATTTAGTTCAATTAAATTGTGTTTGTGGCATTTTGTTTGTCGTGACTATGCACAAATTTATCATCATTCCAATGTTACCATCTCAACTATAAACAACCCACCCTAGTGATTTGAAATTACCCCCTCTCTCTCTCCCTCCCTCTCCCTCCCCCCTCTCTCTCTCTCTACAGGGAGACTGGTCCAAGATGTCCAGTTGATAATACAAGAGTTGCAGTTCATCAGGTAATTGGGTTTATTCAATATTAACCAGTTCATATACTGTACTATACTCATACACAGCCAGCTACTCATGGTGTATTCATACACAGGCTGTCATGTATGTACACACCGATCTATGTATTCATACCCACATAAACAATCATGGACACACTTTCATGTACATGGTACATACACACTAGCTGTTGGTTATTCCACAGTAAACTTTGTGACCAGTCAAGTATCCCATAGTATGTTGTGTGTATACAGCTTGTGTCTGATTGATTTTGAAATTATGCACATATCCAGTGTTGTTAATTTAATATAGCTAGTTTTGTAGGACTTCTGATTCAACCCTCTCCCACCCTCTCTCTTTCTTTTCTCTCTCTCTCTCTCTCTCTCTCTCTCTCTCTCTCTCTCTCTCTCTCTTTCTCTTTAGCTCTTTAAAGACAACTTTGCAAAGAGAGAAGTCCTCTCTCTTCATGTCCATTGCCATGGAAATGAATGCACTTGGCATGGAGAGTTACGCAAACTAGAAGTAATCACATTAATAATAATAATTACTCACTTCATTTTATTGATTCTTTTTTAGCAACATGAAAAGGGCTGTGGCTTAATGCTAATTAGCTGCCCGAATGAGTGTGGTCACAAATGTCTGAGGAGAGATATTTACGAGCATTTGCCGAGTTGTTCCAATCAGCCTACTCTCTGCTCTCTCTGCTCCATCAGTTTCAATAAGAATAAGATTGGGAGTCACGCACAGCAGTGCTCAAAGATTAAGCTACCGGAATCAACCCTCGGGGATATATCTAAGGTATATTGCATGTAGTGTGAGTTGATTAAAAATGGAGAGCAATTTTTGGAGCCTTTTTAAAAATTATTGTTTTCTTATTAGTGCCCAAGATTTTATTGTTGGACAAGGGCTATATAACCTTTGCTTTTTTTAAATTGGCTTGTTTTAAAAATGCTAATAGCTTGAAAATATTTGTCGGAAATGCCTTAAATTTTATGCGTAACATAAGGACATCAATATGTATCAGAAAATTTAATAAAAATTGGGAGTGATTTTGGAGCCATTTTTTGTAAAAAAAACGATGGGCTATAGCCTTTGCTTTTTTTCAAAAATTGGCTTGTTTTTAAAAATGCTAATAACTCGAAAAATATTTGTCAGAAATGCCTCAAACTTTCTGCATAGCATAAGGACACCAATATGTATCAGAAAATTTAATAAAAATTGGGAGTGATTTTGGAGCCATTTTTTGTAAAAAAAAACCATGGGCTATAGCCTTTGCTTTTTTCAAAAATTGGCTTGTTTTTTAAAATGCTAATAACTCGAAAAATATTTGTCAGAAATGCCTCAAACTTTCTGCATAGCATAAGGACATCAATATGTATCAGAAAATGTAATAAAAATTAAGAATCATTTTTGGTATGTTTTTGATGCATGGCTGTTTGAAAAATAATACTGATTGTACATGTTTCAAAATTATCTATATTTTCATTCACATAACTCAAACTTGAATTGATTCAAACGTAAAGTGTGTCAGTAGTAGCAAGAGCACATAATGTACTCTTGGTTGGTTGTAACTATCATAACTTGTTGTATTCATTCTCCTTCCTCTTCCTTTAGGCTAATGAGATATTGAAATGGTCGGGTCACCTCAAAATGAAATTACATGTAAGAGCTGCACTCTATTACGCTAATATAAATCCATTTAAATATACATGTACATGTACACCAATAATCATTATTACATGTGTGTACATACATGTACATGTACATGTAGTTGACTATTTTGTTTTGCTTTTTTAGGGACAGAATTACTCCATTATTGGTTACTTGACTGCTAAAATGGACAGCGAAGAAAGATTTATGTAAGCTGCTACAAAAACTGATAAATATTTCCATGTTAATATTTTCTTCCTTAGTCATTCCGGCTCCTGGTCCAGTAACATTAATCTCATTCCACTGACTGGCTCTGCTTCTAGAATATTCTGGAAGACTTTGCAAGGTCCAGAGGTCAAACCGCTTGACCTTTTCTTCAACGTGTTAGTCGTTGACTCTCGCTCTGCTGCTTTCCAGAAACTAACAAAGAAAAAGATTGTAAGTTACTCAAAATACACGTACATGTACGTGTATAACATCAATTTTATTTGTGAATAATTTTATTTTATTTTTTTGAGAGAAGGATTTATTTTTAATGTTCTATTTCTAATTTTAGAATGCAGTGACTGGTCTAAAGCCTAAGATTACATCTGGTAGGAGAGAGCTCACTATTTTGTACATTTACTGGAGCGACACTGAGAAAAGAATGAAGGCTTGTGTGGCTGAGCTTCAGAACTATTTAGTCAAAGAAATGCAGGTTTGCTTGCTTGCTGGTTTTTAGCATTTTGGATATTTAAATTTTATTTTTTTATTAGAATAAACTTCAGCAGCTGAAGAGAACCTCACAACTGAATGAAATCACACTGGAGGTATAATAATAATAATAATAATAATAATAATAATAATAATAATAATAATAATAATAAGGTTTTTTTGGTTGTTTTTTGTTGTTGTTTTTTTCTTTTTTTTGATTTGTTTGTTTTCCTTTTAAAATAATAATAATAATAGTAATGATGATGATGATGATAATAATAGATATTGCATGTAATAATTGTGCAGTCGTACTATGTACATGTACAGTATGTACATTATTTTTAAAATTTGCTAAAGGTACCCTTTTTATTACTAAAATCTTTCTCTCCTCCCAGACCTCAAGGTCAGGGTCCCACAGGGGTGGTTCCTCCAGTCGCTCAACTGCTCCTGGCTCTACTAACCACTCCTCTCAACCCGGCACTGATCGCAGAGGAGGCGGAGCATCGTTACCTAGACGACCACCATATAACAATTTACGTTTTGTGAACGTCCCTCCGTCCGGTCCTCCTGTATCAGTGGAGCCGTCCTCTCACCTTCCTTCTTCAAGTCGTGTTCTCTCTAGTCTACTCTCATGGCAGCTCTCTCCGAGCTTCCCTCCCTATCCATGGAGAGCTGCTCCCAGCGTACCTTTCTTCACCATACCCTCCACACCTCCTCAGTTCCTTCCTGCTAACTCGTATCCATACATGTTTGCTCCAATGCCAGCGATTGCCGCTCCTTCCTTTTCGATTAACCCTGGGCGTGTCCCTGTGCCTGCTTCAATAGCCATTCCCTCTTACGCTGGAGTGGCTGTGCCCCGTGTCACTGGACTACATGCTGAACTAGTCGTCACTACGGCTTCTGATGCTCCTCTTCAGCAAGGAGGTGCTACTATGATGGAGGGTGGGAGGGTTAATAATGTACAGGCTCCACCCAATGCTCCACCTACTGGACTAGCAGCTGCTGTCATTCATTCCTTTCCTCCTCAGACGGTTCCGCCTGATCACCCATTGGGTGTACCTCCTAATCAAGTGTCAGTGGTAGTTGATCCAAGGGGAGGGATAGTGGGGGCAGGAGGGGAGGTACCCACGGCTCAAACCACCACTGAACCACAGTCCTGGTCACACCAGTGGCAGGCTCCGCCTTCTATGGCTAGGGCTAACTGGTTTGGTGAGACGTCATCTCAAAACTCCTCCTCCTCTTCTAATCCCTCTAGCTCTAGTGGTGCTGGTCAATCAGATACTAGCAGACCCTCACAATCAGCAAGACACCATCGGCAAACCTCCTCTCCCTCTTCTCTTAGCTCACCTTTCTCTCTTCCTTTCTTTTCTCCCATGCCCCCCGGGGGGCTTGAATCATCAGACGACGACCTCTCTGATGTCAACTCGCCTTTACATTGGCCGAACGGTCAGCCCCCCAGCACCAGAACCCCTAGAACGGGGTCCAGTAATGAGCAGTCCCCCTCATCCTCTAACAGTAGTAACGGTGACACTTCAGCTCTCCAGACATTAGCTGATGCAGCTGCACTGTTGAGCTCACCCACTCCATCTGTGTCAGACACCGAGGAAGTCATATCTTATTACGACAGTGACTCCAGCTCACAGAACTCATCATTTGCTGAAGACGCTGATCCTAATCACGGAATCTATTTACAGATTCCTCCCCGTCTCTCTCATCCAGCCCCACCTGCTAATCATATTCAAACAAACGGTAACGTCCTAGCCGTACCGACCGGTGGACATGGCTATGCTCCACCTCAAGCATACAGGCACCAATCCTCCACCCTAGAGGAAGTGTCCCTGTTTGTTCCAGTAATACATCCTCCAGTTGAGGAACAAACTGGCCCCGCCCAAGTGTTATACCCTGCTCAAGAGCGAGGGGTTATACTGCCACCTCAGCAACCAATAGCCGAGGTCCTTCACATGACTGCCCAGGGGTCTCATAATATTGTTCCTGTACAGGAACCCTGGCCTGCCGCGGCCGCAGCTGCTGCTATCGTTGAGTCCCAGCCTGGAGCTGCGTACATTCCTCGACCAATGATCCCAGCTAATGGACCACACCCTCACAATGGAGGAGGATTCTGGGAAGAAGTTATGGTAAGAAAAGAGAGAGGGAAATTATATAATTTTTACAGTCTCTTTTTCTCTTTTATAGCCTTCTCTACTTCATGAAGGCCATGCCCCTCAGTAATTATTATCTTGACCACTCCCACCTTCTATTGATCTGACGTAATTATCATCATTTCCATTATTATTACTATTATTTATATTATTCCCTTTCTTTTACGTTAATTTTCATTTATTTCTCTTTGATTGTCTAAACAACTACCCATCACATGACTATTATTAATATTATTATTATTAATATTTATCGTCACCGTCGTTTGTGTTTGTTTCCTATATTAATCGGATTTTAATTTATTATTTAATTTAAATTTATACAATTCAATACTATTATGCGTTGCATGCCAGCTCATTTTGTTTTGATTTTTATTTTTGCTTTACTTGTACAAATTTATGAATGACTAATCTTTACATTATTATTGTCATATCACTTGGTTCATTCTATTGTACATGGTCTATTGAACTCTATTCTCCTTTCTCCATCTCTCTCTCTTCTCTTTTGAGTAATTTATTTCATTGTTATTGAATAAAATACATGTATAATCCTTAATTTATTATTCATCATTATGATGAAAACCACACCCATGCCCCAGCTAGATCAGTTATAACTACTACTGGTATGTACATGTACTGGTACATACTTACTTAAAAGCTCATTAGTACCAGCAATTAGTTGATAAGCTACATGGTGCACATAGTTTTTGTTTTTATTACCTAGCAAAGGCTTTTCTCTTACTATTCCTAAAACTTGTTATTGATTATGTTATTGATTAACAATAATCCAGATATTTCCGAGGGAAAGTCTCTTTACCTCACACACTGCTCACCATAACATGGTCCCTCAGAGCATATTCAATGTCCCACCCAACCCCAGTCAGTATAATGAGTAGTAGGCCCTGTGAAATTATGCTAGCATAATTTTGAGAATAATAGGGAATTCATAGAATCAAGATTAATTCCAGAATAATAGGCAGTATTTATGAGAACTTTTTTAAAAAATTATAAATTGATAAAGTATAGTCATAGACAATAAAACTATAGACTATATGTAATTACTAGTTTTGCCATCACAATCATGATTGAAATATTTTTGTTGTATTAATTACTTTATATTAATGAATAATAGTAGAATAATAGGCATGTTTGAAAAGAATAATGGGCAATACATAAAAGAATCTGAGAATAGAATAATAGGCAAAATTAAAAGCATAATTTCACAAGGCCTAATGAGTAGATATAGTAGCTTTAGTCTCGCCACGCCCCTTCGCTGCGAAGGGGCGTGACGAGACTAGAGTAGCTTATAATGACTATAATACCTTACAAATTATGGCTAAGAAAACAACATTATTGTACTATAGCTAAGAAAACAGCATTAGTACAGCATATATATAAAAGTACTAGTTTGTTTCTTTATAAAATGATGCAAATCGAATTGTTCGCTGTACCACTATTTCCTGCGCCACCATTATTATTATTTCCACTAAAGGAGAGAGATCTGTATTAATTGTTGCAGCTTTGTTTCTCTTACTTGTTCTTTTGTGATTCTTCTTGATCCATATCACAATATTTTAATAGTTTGAGGTTTTCAACTTTTCACGTGAGTCATGAGACTTCAGATGACATCATATCATGTCCCTCCTATTTGATTATGATTAAGCTTTAATATTGATTAATTAAGTAATTTGATGAAACCACACCTACTTTAACAGTCAATTAAATTCCCCGCCCATTTTATGTTTTTTCAACTTTTGGGGTTTTTAAACTTTTTTTCCAGTAGTAATTTTGAAGTATTTCCTTTAGTAAGTTTCAACTGTTCCTAGAACCGTCTGATTCTATTTCTTTCTACTCTTTATAGTGATAGACAGGCTAGCTAGTGAACCTAGTAGACGGTTTGGTTAGTCACGTGATCAAACATGATCTCTAGCTCTTAAAAGGAAGGGATATAAAGAGGAGTAAGGAAGTAAAAGTCTCCATTAAAGCTTCATTGTGAGTTATGCATCATTATCACTGTACGTTAATACTAGCAGCATGATATTGATTGTTGTGGTTTTGTAAGTCCAACTGTAATTATGTCCATCATTGCTGCAAGTATTGCTGTGTACAGTGCAATCAGTACTTGCTAAGTAAGAGTTTTTGTTTGCTGTTACTGTGTAACATGATAAATACCATGTAATATGCAAAGTTAGAGCTCCGTTTTATTTCTGCTTACTAATAATTCAATGTTATTTTGGACTTTAGCACAGAATACACACATGGATGTTAAACTTCTGCTTCCTAATTGTTACATGTACATGTAAGCTATTGCATGTAGCATGCAATCTTGTGCTTAATGCAAATTATTGTTGATGCTGTGTGTAGATGAGTAAGAACTACTGTATCCATGAATTGCAAATTTACTCATTAATTGCTGCCGGGCTTGTGAATCGCTGGCTCACCCAGTAACTGCTTGCCTATACATGTACATAAAATTACATGTATATTACATGTACTCATCTCTATTACCGGTAATTTATAGTGATTTTTTCACTTGTTTGCATGTAAAAGAAAATAACAATTATCACCATTTAGACTATTAGCTACATACATGTATACATGTAGTTTTGTATTATTTCCTGGCAGAGGCTTTTGCTGTACTCTGCCATTTCACTTCTTTCTTAGAACACCCACTGACCCACAACTTGTTATTGATTTGTTTTTGCTTCCGAATTGCCGAAAAATTCCCAGGGAAAGTCCCCTTTACCTCACACGTTGTTGACCATAACTTGTTTATGGTCCCTGAGAGCGTATTCAATGTTCTACCCCAACCCCAGTCAGTAGGAGTGACCATGATACCTTACTAATATTATAACTAAGAAAACACCATCAATGTACTATAGCTACATGTACATGTATGAAAAGTGCATTAGCACACAGGTATAAAAGTACTAGTTTGTTTCTTTATAAAATGATGCAAGTATGTCCACCTCCTTTGTCACCATCTCCATGATGTTGATGTCCACTAAAAGAGATATATATATATCTATATATTTCCACAATGTCATTTGTCTTACTTGTTCATTTTGTTTGCTTCTCTTACTTGATTAGCTCGAGATATTACAACGAGCGATCGGGTTATTCTAATAGTTTGAGGTTTTTATCTGTTTTCATTGTGTCGTTCACGTGAGACTTTAGATGACATCCTGTCCCTCCTTTCTCCTATTTATAGCAGCTTTGTTGCTCACTTATGTGCCAATTAGTTTTGAAACCTAACTACACTTTTTAGCACCCTCGCTTTGCTGCAGAAGATTTTTCCTTGGTAAAATCAGTCTCACATCCCTCTAATACTGTGCCTCAAAGTTTAGTTTGACAACAGTTAGGCAATACAACCCAGTACCAATCAGTAGGAATAGCTTACAATGACTATGATGCTTTACTAATATTATGACTAAGAAAACAGCATTAATGTACTATAGCTAAGAAAACAGCATTAGCAGCACAGCAGGTATAAAAGTACTAGTTTGTTTCTTTATAAAATGATGCAATTTCCACGTGAACCCCCATCTTCTGAGCCACCATCTCCATTATTTCCACTAAAAGAGAGAGAGATCTGCATTAATTGCTGCAGCATTACTTCTCTTACTTGTTCATTTGTAATTCTTTTACTTGATTCATATTGCAATGAGTATGCAAGTTAGTCTAATGATTTGAGGTTTTCAAACTGTTTTTAGTGCTCCGTTCACGTGAGACTTCAGATGACATCATGCCCCTCCCTTCTTTTTATGGCAAGTTTTGTTGCTCATTTATGGCTTAGATAGTTTTACAGCCCATAGCAGTTAACTTAGTACCCTAACTTTTCCTGTAGCTCTAGGGTTTTCTTTTGGTCATGATGTACTTATTGGACCTTAGCTTGATGAACAAAACAAGTTATACGACAAAACGAACAATTTGAGTTACACAATACAACTCCAATTAGTACTCAGTAGGAGTAACTTATAATGAAATGACTATGGTATTTTACTAATATTGCAACTAAAAAACAGCCTAAAAAGAAAATAGACTTAACAGGTAACAAAAGTTTCAGTTATAAGATGATACACCATGTGTTCCCACTTTGTGTGGCACCATCTCCACCATTATTTCCACTAAAGGGTGGAGAGATACATGTATGTATTGCCACAATGCCATTTCTCTTACTTGTTCTTCATATCGTTTGCTTCTTTATAAGAGAGAGATATCACGATGAGCGAGCGAGTTATTCTAATGGTTTGAGGTTTCAAACTGTTTTTATTGTATCGTTCACGTGAGACTTGAGTTGACATCATGTCCCTCCCTTCTCTTAATGGCAAGCTTTGTTTATGGCCAACTAGTTTCACAACCCAAATAGCTTTTTAGTATACTCCCTTTGCTTACGTAGGATTTTCTCTTAGTTATAATCCCTCTCACATCTTGATAATATTTGGCCATGATGTTTAGTTTGACAAGCAAAAACAATTATAGGCCAACCATATTATAGTCAGTAGGAATAGCTTATAATGACTGTGTTATATTACTAATTTTATAACTAAGAAAACAGCATTAAATGTAGCTAAGAAAAAACATTATCAGGTAACAAAAGTATCAGTTCATTTCTTTATAAAATCACACACCATTTATGCCCACCTCCTGGATCTCCACTTCCATTATCTCCGCTAAAAGAAATAGATATTTGTATTATGGCAATATCCTTTGTCTTACTTATTCATTTGTTCACTTCTTTTTGTAAATAAGAGAGCAATATTAAGAGAGAGAGATATTACAATGAACGATGGGGCTATTCTAATAATTTGAGGTTTTGAGCTGTTTTTATTGTGTCGTTCACGTGAGATCTTCAAATGACATCATGTCCCTCCCCTTCTCTTAATGGTAAGCTTTGTTGCTCATTTAGGGCGGAATAGTTTTACAGCCCAGCTAACTTAGTACCTTCACTTTGCTTGCCGAGGGTTTTCTCTTGGTTATGAGTAATTGGGTTTAGTTTGATAACAAAAAGTTTGGCAATACAAGTTATACAACACAACTCCAATTGGTAGGAGTAATTTATAATGACTATGGTACTTTACTAAACTAAGAAAACAGCACTAAAAGAAACAGGATTAACGAGTAACAAAAAGTATCAGTTCATTTCTTTATAAAATAATGCACCAATGGTGCTTGCCTGGTGTGTCACCATCTCCATGATGTGCACTAAAAGAGAGAGGGGAAGATATGTTGCCACAATGCTGTTTCTCTTACTTGTTCATTTTGTTTGATTCTTTTCGTCGATAAGAGAGAGATATCACAACGAACGAGGGAGTTATTCCAATAATTTGAGGTTTTGGACTGTTTTTATTGTGTCGTTCACGTGAGACCTTCAGATGATATCATGCCCCCCCTTCTCTTAATTATGGCAAGCTTTGTTGCTTGATTTATGGCCGAATACACGTTAACTTTTTTTATGCATTTACTCTGCAAACAGAAATTATGAATCAACTCCACACAATGACTTTACTAACATTACATGTATATGTTATAACTTAAGAAACAGGATTAATGTATTATATAAGAAAGCAGCACCAGTAACAAAAGTATCTTTATGAAGTTTTTCACCGCTTGTGTCCACCTCCTGTGTCACCATCTCCAGACCTAAAAGAAATATGTACATATGACTAACAGACAAAAAGTTGATCATTTGATGTACTTTGGCTTTGGTGGATCCTTTGGCTTTGGTTGATCCTTTGGCTTTGGTGGATCCTTTGGCTTTGGTGGATCCTTTGGCTTACCCTTTGGTCTAGAAACATGTGTATTCATATACGTATCTATACTTATAGTAACTTACCGGTTCATTTTGCTTCTTTTCATTGATTAGTTTGCTAATAAGAGAGAGCTATTAGGGGAACCGGCTACTATTCTATTATTCCTAGCTGTTTTTATAAAGCCATTCACGTGAAGGCCTTTAGATGACTTCATCCCCCCTCCCTCCCTCTCTCCCTCTCTCTGTTTACTCATTGGTCAAACCCTATTTTAAACTTCCCCGATTCCTGATCCTGGGGTTGCACGTTGGGCAGTATACCTATTTAGTATTATTGACTATTACTAATGGTATTTTCATTAATAATTAATAGGTACATGTCTTTAGTAGTAATACTGAAATAAATAAAGATAAATTTATTGATTATAACATTTGCTAATATTGCACAACTCTAATCATATCCCTCCCTTCTCTTAATTATGACAAGCTTTGTTGCTTGATTTATGGCCAACTACATGTACATTGTAGGTAACTTTTTATGCCTTCACTTTGCAAACAGAAATTATGAACCAACTCCACACAATGACTTTACTAATTTTACATGTGCATATTATAACTTTAAAAAACAGCATTAATGCATTATATAAAGAAGCAGCATCAGTAGCAAAATTATCTTTATGAAATGGTACACCATGTGTTTTCACCTCCTTTGTCACCATCTCCAGAACTAAAAGAATTATGTTTATATGACTAAGAGACTAAAAGTTGATCATTTGACATGCTTTGTGCTTGGCAGAAGCCTTTGTTTCTGTGATCTCTTTTAGTTAGAACACCCACAACTTGTTATTCATTTGTTATTGCTTCCGAATTGCCGAAACTTTCCCCGGGAAAGTCCCCTTTACCTCACGCGTTGCTGACCATAACTTGTTTATGGTTTATAGTCCCTGAGAGCGTATTCAATGTTCCTACCTAACTCCAGTCAGTAGGAGTAGCTTATAATGACAATGATACCTTACTAGTATTATAACTAAGAAAACAGCATTAAAGTAACAAAAGTATCAGTTCAATTCATTATAAAATGATACACCAGCCATGCCCGCCTTGTGAGTCACCATCTCCATTATTTCCACTAAAAGAGAGAGAGGGAGAGATGTACATGTATTATTATTACAATGCCGTTTGCCTTACTTGTTCATATTGCTTGCTTCTTTATGTTAGTAACAGAGAGATATTACAATGAATGAGCGAGCGGGTTGTTCTAATAGTTTGAGGTTTTCTAACTGTTTTTATAGCGAGCGTCATTCACGTCACTAAATTCAAGTGACATCATTCCCCGTCCCGTCTTGTTGCTTCATTTATGGCCAACTACATGTACATGTAGTTAACTTTTAATGCCTTCACTTTACAAACAGCAATTATGATCCAACTCCACGCAATGACTTAATGCATTTATTTATTATAACTTAAAAAACAGCATTAATATACAAGAAAGCAGCATTTGTCTTTATTTAATATACAAGAAAGCAGCAATGCAGCAACAGTAACAAAAGTGTCTTTATTTAATATACATGAAAGCAGCAATACAGCAACAGTAACAAAAGTGTCTTTATTTATCCATAAGCCAGTTATGTCCACCTCCTGTGTCACCATCTCCAGAACTAAAAGAAATATGTAAATATGACTAAGAGAGAAAGTCATTTGACACACCTTAGGTTTGGAAATATTGGAACTGGATTAACCACTGGGTTTGGATGAAGTATTTGATCTAATGGAACTGGATTAACCACTGGGTTTGGACGAAGTATTTGATCTAATGGAACTGGATTAACCACTGGGTTTGGACGAAGTATTTGATCTAATGGAACTGGATTAACCACTGGGTTTGGACGAAGTATTTGATCTAATGGAACTGGATTAACCACTGGGTTTGGACGAAGTATTTGATCTAATGGAACTGGATTAACCACTGGGTTTGGACGAAGTATTTGATCTAATGGAACTGGATTAACCACTGGATTAACCACTGGGTTTGGACGAAGTATTTGATCTAATGGAACTGGATTAACCACTGGGTTTGGACAAAGTATTTCATCTAATGGAACTGGATTAACCACTGGGTTTGGACGAAGTATTTGATCTAATGGAACTGGATTAACCACTGGGTTTGGACAAAGTATTTCATCTAATGGATTATCCGCTGGATTTGGTTGAAGTACTTGGTTTAAAAAATCAGGGGGCAATCTAGAAAGATATGTACATGTATCTACATGTATATTACCTCACTTACTCGCTCATTTTGCTTCTTTTTGCTGGTTATTCTGTTGATAAAAAGAGCTTTTTGTGCAATCGTCTATTATGAACTAGTTGTTTTTATAGAGCCGGTCACGTGAGACCTTAAGATTACATCATGAGTCCCTTTCTCCCATTAATAATTTGCTGACTTTGCTCTACTTATGACAACTGGTACAAAATTCAATACCTTCATGTGTGTTTGCAGAAGGTTTTCATCCTCTAATACTGAGCCTAAGTACCTATAATATACCATCCATCTCCACTCAGTTGTACAATGTCTGTGGTGCTTATTTGATTAATTTTCACTAACAAACAGCATTAATGCACTATAACTAACTAATAAAACAGTGTTAAAAGACTATAGTAGCTAAAAGTAGCAGTTCATTTCTTCATAAAATGATACAGTACTTCTCACACCAATTATTTCCACCTCCTTTGTCACCATCTCCGCTAAAGAGATAGTTACAAATATATATACATATTATCATCTCAATGCCATTTCTCTTACTTCATTTTGCTTGCTTCTTTTCGTTGATCAGTTTGCTAGTAAGAGAGAGCTATTAGGGGAACCGGCTATTATTCTATTATTCTTAGCTGTTTTTATAAAGCCGTTCACGTGAAGGCCTTTAGATGACATCATCCTCCCTCTTTCCCTCCCTCTCTCTGTTCGCTCATTGGTCAAGTACTATTTTAAACTTCCCCGAATCCTTATTAGGAATATAGTTTTCAGCAGTCAGCATCTTTTTTTTGATATTTGGATTTGCTTTAAGCTGCCTTTTGATCATATAACAGATACATAAAATTGTTTTAATAATGGCCTTTTTTTCTAAGAAAATCTAAGTTACGTGTACGTTAGTATTATAAATCGAGTTAAAAAATGGACGGACTAATATTTTACTATAACTGATAAAAAGACTCTTTTGTACTACTAAGTGTACATGTATGTCAGTGCAATATTAATGCACACGAGAGTTTTGAGTTTAAAGGATTGTGCAACAACAGCAGTCACAGTTTCCATCACTACTTGATCCATCTCCACTACAAGGATTGAGATAGAAATGATAAGGATTAAATTTGAAGTCTCTTACTTTGCCATTTCGGTTTTCTTTTGTCTTTCTTAAAAAATAAACTTGTTAGAATTACTTGTTGTTACGGCCAATTCTTCGCCTTTGTGAACCCTCCGCTATTTAGGGTGGAATTGTGTTGACGTGGTATCAATAGGCCAGTCCCTTGGGAAGCCCCACTACGTCACTCCCATTCCGGCCCACCTGAGACATGTTTGTCTCCTAATGAATGTGAATTGTTTATAAAGCGCTGCATTAGGAGTTCCTCCCTCTTCCACTGTATCTTAAGGTTTCATTGGTCGAATGAACTAACCAATGAATAATCTACATATACATTCATGTACATGCATTGCTTTGAAATGCTGTACATATTATATGTATACAACATTACATTGCAGTATATGGATGAAATTAGACTTTAAGTAATAAATATATAAATAATAAAAGTTTTTCTTTGTGCTACTAAATAATTTATGTTAATGCAACATTAATATACACAGCAGTTTGAGTTTAGAGGATTGTGCAGCTACTCTTGCAGCATTTACAGCATTTACAACAGTGTTCTTTACAACAGTGTTCTTTACAACAATAATGGTGTCCCTCACTAGAAGCACCATCTCCACTACAATGATTGAGATAAAAAAGATATGTAGGGTCTCTTACTTTGCCATTTTGGTTTTTCCTTTTGTTTTTGCTCAAATAATAAATTGTTAGAATTACTTGTTGTTATGGCCTATTCTTTACTTCTGTGAAACCTCCGCTATTTAGGGTGGAAGTGTGTTGACATGGTAACTTGGGAAGCCCCACTACGTCACTCCCATTCCGGCCCACCTGAGACATGTTTGTCTCCTAATGAATGTGAATTGTTTATAAAGCGCTGCATTAAAAGTCCCTCCCTCTTCCACTGTATCTTAAGGTTTCATTGGTGGAATGAACTAACCAATGAATAACCTACATATATATGTACATGTACATGTATGTTCATATGTTGCTTTGAAGTTTTCTAAATTTTGTATGTAGACCATCTATATTTGTGCTTAGCATTGAAATGTATGTAACTGGATGACATGAGTATGTCTTTAATGGCTTGCATCTTTTATTTGATATTTTGGTTTGCCTGCAGCTACCATAGGCTGACATTGAGTACATGTATTTACATTGTAAGTAGTAATTATTCACTTTTTTGTGAAGAAATATAAATTAACGGCCACTTTTGAGCTAAACAATGATATCATAAATGTACTAAAGTATCATGAATGTACTAAAAGTATTATAAATGTACTGAATGATAATGTTACTGTATGTGCTAAAAGACTCTTCTATACTACTAAGTATCTGTTAGTGCAATATTAATGCACTCGAATGTTCTGAGTTTAGAGGATTGTGCAGCAGTTGTGTCCACCGCTTGTGCAGCCGTCTCCGCTAAAAGGATAGAGAAAGAATGATAAGAATAAGAATATCATGATTTGTCTCTTACAATGACATTTTGGAGCTTTTTCTGTTTTCGGTCAAAAATGAACAGTCGAAAATGAGTGTATCAGGAATGAGCGTATGGCCAATACTTCCCTTCTCTCTTTGCTCCACTATTTTATCGTGAAACTCTTGTTGACGTGGCTACATTGGGCCTGTCCCTTGGAAATCCCCCACTGCAACAATCCCATGCTACGTCAATCCCATGCAAGTCAATCCCACGCTACGTCACTCATTCCGGCCCACCTGAGACATGTTTGTCTCCTAATGAATATGAATTGTTTATAAAGCGCTGCATTAGGAGTCCCTCCCTCTTCCACTTTATCTTAAGGTTTCACTAGTCGAATGAACTAACCAATGAATAACCTATGTATGTATATTTCTTTATTGCTTTGAAGTCTTGCACATACATGTAGATCTTGTATGTACACCATCCATTTATACTGGGCATTGAATTGTACTGTATGATATACTTTTTATTATACATAATGGTGTACATGTACATGCATATTGTATATGTATCTTATGATTTTTAAGATAGAAAGAAAAGGAGAGATATTGCTTTACTTGCTTGCTTATAAAAATTATTTTATTGCTATATAATTTATGAATATTCACCCACCTCATGAATATTCAATGAAGTCATTAGCTAGCGCCTGCCTCTTTTAATGCATTGCGCCAGTTTGATGACATTCACTTGCAATCCTTACAACATTCCAGACCCACAGACTATGTATATACACACATAAAGGCACTCATATACACTCATATATCCATACACCTAACTCCTTATACTTACCATATATTATATACAGGCTCTTAGTATGTACTGTGTATGTCATAAGGCTAGTACTGTGTATTGTGGCTTCTCCATTAGTAGATTGTCAGTAGTGTATCAGTTGTATATAGTTTAATGTATTATTAGTGTTGTTAGCTTAGCATGTCCATATGTCCTCCCTTGGTTGTGTTAATAGACTGGAGGGTCAATGATCAAAGATATCTCTACATTTCTAGTCTGTATATGTACATGTACATGTACATGTAGTGTATGTGTGTATTTTATTATTAATTAGTGTGTTCTTTATTAGTATTAAAACTAATGTTACTTATATCTTTAGCTTTTTAATTGTATTTAATGAATTCCTTGCACAAAATAAAGTACAACACTCTTTAAGCTAATTCTGATCAGTTCAATTTTTGATGCATGGAAGTTAGAAATAATTCAGTCAAATTTGGATTTTTTAAGTCAATTTTTGAAGGTGCTCCAAATGGGCCAAATATCTACACATGTAGTACAGGTTTTTGGCCAATTTTTTGTAAAAATTGACTGCAAAAGAAAGTTTTATTTCTGATAGTTTTTAGAGCATATACATGGTTTTATTTTGTGTAGAAAGTTTGAGCGGATTTTGATCAAAATTGAATTTTTCCAATTTTGAAAGTTGCTCGAAAATTGCGCCAAAACGGCTAGCCCTGGTCTTTTCTAAAAATTGGCTCCAAAATTACCCCCAATTTTTATTACATTTTCTAATACATATTGATGTCTTTATGCTATCTAGAAAGTTTGAGCTGTTTCCGACAAGTATTTTTCGAGTTATTAGCATTTTTTAAAACGAGCCAATTTAAAAAAAAAAGCATGGACTATAGCCCATGGTTTTTTCAAAAATTGGCCAAAAAATTGCCCTCAATTTTTATTACATTTTCTAATACATATTGATGTCCTTATGCTGTGTAGAAAGTTTGAGCTTATTTTGACAAATATTTTTCGAGTTATTAACATTTTTTAAAACGAGCAAATTTTTGATAAAAAGCATGGACTATAGCCCGTGGTTTTTTCAAAAATTGGCCAAAAAATTGCCCACAATTTTTATTACATTTTCTAAAACATATTGATGTCCTTATGCTATGTAGAAAGTTTGAGCTGTTTCTGACAAATATTTTTCGAGTTATGAGCATTTTTAAGAATGAACCAATTTTTGAAAAAAAGCATGGGCTATATAGCCCATGATTTTTTCCAAAAATTGGCCGAAAAATCACCCCCCCCCCCAATTTTTATTACATTTTAAAATACATATTGATGTCCTTATGCTATGTAGAAAATTTGAGCTGTTTCTGACAAATATTTTTTGAGTTATTAACATTTTTTAAAATGAGCCAATTTTTGAAAAAAAGCATGGACTATAGCACATGGTTTTTTCCAAAAATTGGCCAAAAAATCACCCCAAATTTTTATGACATTTTAAAATGCATATTAATGTCCTTATGCTATGTAGAAAGTTTGAGCTGTTTCTGACAAATATTTTTCGAGTTATGAGCATTTTTAAGAACGAGCCAATTTTTGAAAAAAAGTATGGACTATAGCCCATGGTTTTTTCCAAAAATTGGCCAAAAAACTGCCCGCAATTTTTATTACATTTTCTAATACATATTGATGTCCTTATGCTATGTAGAAAGTTTGAGCTGTTTCTGACAAATATTTTTCGAATTATGAGCATTTTTAAGAACGAGCCAATTTTTGAAGAAAGCATGGACTATAGCCCATGTTTTTTTCCAAAAAATGGCCAAAAAATCACCCCCAATTTTTATTACATTTTCTAATACATATTGATGTCCTTATGCTATGTAGAAAGTTTGAGCTTATTCTGAGAAATGTTTTTCAAGTTATGAGCATTTTTTAAGAATGAGCCAATTTTTGAAAAAAAGCAAAGGCTATAGCCCATGGTTTTTTCAAAAATTGGCTCCAAAATGACCCCTAATTTTTATTACATTTTCTAAAACACTTTGATGTCTTTATGCTATGTAGAAAGTTTGAGCTGTTTCCAACAAATATTTTTTGAGTTATGAACATTTTTAAGAACGAGCCAATTTTTGAAAAAAGGAAAGCCCTCGAAAAATTTGTTGTAAATAAAGAATGAAAATAAAACTCGTAGGGCAAGGAAAAACAAAGCAAAGTTAAAAATAGGGTAAGGTAAAATTAGAGACACAAAAAAATGAAATGATAAGGGAAAAAATAAAGCTAAAAATGATTAAATTTAAGAAATATTAATATGGACATCAGAGCTAGACTGTATAAACCATGTTTTTTCCTGAAAAATGACTCCAAAATGGCCTCCAATTTTTATTACATTTTCTGATACATGTTGATGTCCTTATCCTATTGAGCTGTTTCCAACAAATACATGTCTTTTTTGAGATTAAGAATGAGCCCATAATGATTGGAAGAGAATTCTTTATTTTTATAATATTTCTGATACACATACTGTTCTTAGTGTTGCATAGAAAGTTTGAACAGATTCTAATCAATAAGACATATTTTGGTTAATTTTAAAGTCACCGAAAAATCTGGCCAAAACCATGTACTGTATGTAGGACTGAAGTTGGTTGGGTCTTCAGCTAAATTTTATAAAATTTGCTTGAAGAGAATTTTCAATTTTTCGATAGATTTATATATTCTGATTAATTATGAATTTTCAAAATTCCTCCAAAATCTGGCCAACGACCACACTGTATCATTTTGATGTTACAAATGTTTTTTATACAATTTTTTTTTTAATTGGCTGTGAAATTATCCACATTCTTATTAATAATTATTATTACTAATTACTAATAATTATTAATGATATGATAAATTGACTGGCCACACCTACTCCAGTTATTAGTTCAATTATCAAGTTATTTAGTTAATTAATCCAGTTATTAATCGCAGTTATTAAGTTATTATAATTGTCCCACCCACTTTAACATGTGTTTTCAAAG